GAGCTCGCATGCATATTTGGTGGCCGTTTGAAGTCGACACTGTAGCAGGTGGCCGAACTAGATTGCAGAACTTGGACGGCTTGATCTTGATGTGGACGACGGTTGTATCTATAGTAGCCATGGTCACATCATCAGTCGGTGTTGAGTGTGGCTGGGCCCGACGTCGAGGTTACTCAATGAAGCTTGGGCAGCCTGTGTGGTCGTCGGATGGCGCCGTCAGTCTTGCTCCGCCGCTCGGTGGAGTCCGGTCATTGTGCAGATGGTGTGAATAGTGCAAGTACCTTCGGTGTGCAGGTGGCATTTGGTGGCTTCCGCTGTGGTTGCTATGGTTGAAGGGGACTCCGAGGTGAAAGCCTTGCTCGGCTTGCCGGTGCTAGCAACGGCAACACCCTCGGGTGTCGTTCACATTCTTGAAGGCATTGCTATTGGAGTTCTCATTCAACTCCACATCAAGGGAATTCAGCAGGTGAAAACTTTAGATTCTTTTGGATTGGACGATGTCGCCCTGTTCTTAGTTTCAGTATGCCAATGTCAAGGTTTTCATCGGTTTTTTGTAAATTAACCGTGTCGTTCTAGATTTCTGGGTCCGGTTTTTCTTATAAAGTGAATCAACTTTTACACTGAAATTGTAGGAACTCCATACATGTTCCCTCGAAAAAGAAACAATTCAAATATGTTTGTAGCTAATCTGAGGTGAGGTTAGACCTAACAACCGGATCGAATATCCCGTGACCCTTTTGGAATCGTTCGTGCATGAGAATTAAGGTCAATCAAGTAAATATAAAAGGTAGGTATCTTCATGTTAATTAAGCGTCAACTTAAGACGAAAGCTAGTCATCCACGGCACTAATTCATTACGATTATGTAAACATCGCTGTGTCATCTTCTTCTTCGATCGAAAAGTGTAAGCTATATTTATATTTGTAAAATCATGTACACCAAGCAAGGACTGAAAAGAAAAAGATGCGATTTCTCATAGATGAATATAGCCGCGAGCACAAGACACTATACTTTTGTGCTTTCTTTTATTAAAAAATGGATCGCAATGTCAAATTGTCAATGATCTTTTACAAGTGATACTCGGACATTGAAGGACTGTAGTTGCATGCATTTGGAGGTACATTGTGATCATTCTCAGCTGATTTATACAGGGAAATTGAGCTATTGCATCTGTTGTGTCCCATCATCACAAGAGAAAAAAAAATTCTACTCCTCACATAAAAAAAAAGAGTATTCAAGATATTTGTGGGATGGAAATATAAGAACCAAGCCTATCAGATGGGATGAATGATATAAACACCAAAAAACGAAAACTTTTAGCGGAATTAAAAGCTACCCTCAAATTCAATGAAGTTCTGACGAAATTCTGTGTGAGAGCCAGATATGCACCGGTTATACCGCACCTATGTTGCTAGTCTGACAGGATGACTCTCGATCCATCACCAGCAACACTCTCTCGAGGCATTAAGACACACTTACACATAAATCAAGCAAGAAATCATATTCGAGCACAAGTTTTTCCACAACTTAACTCAACATTACCACACAATAGTATTATATACGTATAGTAATTATCTAGAAGTTATAAATATGAAGTAATCATGAGTATCCAAACAAACAACTTGAAACCAACTTTAATACAGAGCTAGTCGACTAGACCGTCGGGTTGGCTAGTCTAACCGCACACTACCCACCGGTCTAACTGGCTCTACACATAGCACCACTTTGCAAATAAATATCAAAAAAGAAAAACCAATTATCTCACAAATCAATTGTTCATCATCAAATAATAATTGGAACACTTTAATTTCACAATTCACGCCTATAATTAAATACCTATTTAATATATATAATTGGTGCAGAGTTTGGAATTCTACTTCTACCTTAAGAAATGTGAGTAGTATGTAAGTTAATTGGGAAGCGCATACGTGTGAGAACCAAGAGGTTACTGGATCGAAACATGGTTGCTATCTTTTTTTTCCCCACCTAGTAAGTTAATTGGGAAGCGTGTACGTGTGAGAACCAAGAGGTTACTGGATCGAACACATGGTTGCTATCTGTTTTTTTCCCCCACCTAGTACGATCTTGATGCTCATCCATCGGTTAGCACGAATCGCTCATCCATCGGTTAGTACGAATCTTTACGCATACCAGATAGAAAAATATTGGATAGAAAAATCACACGGCAAATCCCTAGCAAAATTGGCTTTTGTAATCATGAAAACATGTTGATTCAGCCGGTACTATCAAGAAAACCTCCCAAAATGGAGTATCAAATAGGAAAAGGCTATACGTACTAACTTTTTCTTACTAAATTCTTACTAACACTGATATGTCATGCTACGAGTGCATCTAGATTTTTTGTAACTTCCATCTACTTAAATCAAACGGTTGAGATGATTGTTAGTAAAAGTTTAGTAAGAAAAATTTAGTACGTGTAGCATTGCTCTATCAAATACTAGTACTACCTCCATATTTTAATGTATGACACCGTTGATTTTTTTTCAACATTTGACCATTCGTCTTATTCAAAAAATTTATGTGATTATCATTTATTTTAATGTGGCTTGATTCATCATCAAATGTTTTTTTAAGCATGACATAAATATTTTCATATTTACACAAAAATTTTGAATAAAACGAATGGTCAAACGTTAGTCGAAAAGTCAACAGCGTCATACATTAAAATACGGAGGGAGTTCTATGCTAGTAGTTAATTAATTTTACAGCACCAAACAACAATGTTACTTCCTCCTCTCTGTTCTTTATACCTGTAACAATAATAGCAACAATAGTACGGAGTAATATATAAACTCCCCTATGTATGTATATGTGGATGTGGCGCTGCGATTGGGCGCAGGTCGGCGTCGGTGACGGCGACGCGGCGGGGGATCCCGCGGAGAAAGATCCTTCTTTCTGGTATTCTTGTGTGGGAGGACCGGAGGAGGAGAGCCCAAGGGAATCCGACCCAAACGATGCCACGTCAGGCGTGGGCCCCCACCCCACCCCACCGTAAAACCAATGGCACCGAGAAAACGACCCCACCCCGCCGGCGCGCGGGGACCACCTGGCAGCCACTCCCACGACCCACACACGGCCGGATTGATTTCTGGTGCGCGGGTGCGCGTCCGCGTCACGCGTGACGGCGCGGCGCTGGCGCTCCAGCCCGGAGGGTGGTGGAGATCACGTCACTGACGTGCGGGGCAGGGTGTTCGTGTGGGACCCACATGTCAGGGATGTGGGTATATTCGGGGCGATGGGTGAGGGTAGTATTCTTTTGGTGTGGGGATTATGCGCCGCGCCGCCGTGTGCGCGGGTCGTTGATTCTTCCAAGCGGCTTCCTTTGTTTTTTCGTTTTTGTGCGATTTTTGCTGTTAGGCCCCTGTACAAGTTGTAGAGCGTCGGATTTGCTCTTTAGTCCCTGAATTTTTGCCAGTTGCCCTGTTTTCATTTCTTCTTCTTTTTTTTTTCCCTAACAGACAGAAACAGAATGCCATAGCTAATAAGTCTGCGTTCTTTTTTCAACTGAAAAAAATATTTTCCTCGTTATGTTTTTTAAAGTATTAAATGATGATACTCTCTCTTCGCCCCAAAGTTTTGGTGCTTATTTTTGTTTTTGGACAGTGTACGTACTTATTTTCGGACGGAGAGAGAGTATGTTTTTCTAAAAAGCTTTTTATATAAAAGTTTCTTTCAAAAATTGAATAAACTCATTTCTAAATTTTGTAATGACAAATACTCAATTATTTATGTCAATGACTTATCTTATTTTACGTGCAACTAAAATGTTGAAGATTCAAACAAACTAAAATATATACTCGCTCGTACTCCTCTTATACAAGAGGCAGTACAAGCGTATATTATACTTTCTCTTATACATGTATAGCTCTATCAAACTATCATACTCCATCCATCCATAAAAGTTAGACATATTTTACATTTAAGTTTTTCTAAATAAATTATTGCTATTCGTAGTCTTTATGCATTTAAGACTTAAATGAAGAGATAAATTAAATGTTTGACGAGAACCCAAGGAGTCATCTAAATATTCATTGGTTCCATGCTTGCATTCACTCCTTGATTTTGTAACATCCAAAATAATTTAATTTCTCCTAGGTCTTGGTGACAAAAATAATATGCGTAACTTTTGTGGATGGAGGGAGTACAGTATAAAAATATATACATGGTTGAAAAAAGTAAATAAAATCAACACATCCTAGCTATACGAATCTAGACAATATTCCAAATAAATTTCTCAGTACTCTATATATCCCAGTTTGATCACCACATAAGGTTTTTAAGGTTTTCCCAACATAATCATCCTCTAACAAGCGCATCTTATCCTCTAACAAGCGCATCTTTGTTTATCTATGCTAAGAGTAAATGAACATCATTAAATGTACTATATGCAACCAACCAAAATTAATTTCTATTGGTCCAACTACATGCAATATTTATAACTAGATGCAATCCACGAAACATAAAGCGACGTTGCTCCTTAACCGATGAGAATTAACTACAGGATAATGAATGTTTTATTGTCCATAGTCTTTGCGCTTTTTGCTTAGAGCAAGTTTAATAGTAGAGCCAACTACTAGCTCCAAATCATCTATAGCCAATTTAATAGCTCATTCATACAATAGTTACCTATAAATATATTTATACAATAGTTACCTATAAATATATACTCCACCTCTTATGTACTATAGCATTAATATGTAGTCTCACCTCTTATACACATAATATTTTAGAGTTTGTGCTACACTCCTGTAACTGACTATAAATCTATAGCTCGTTTTTTCTCTCTTCTTTTTATCTTATTCATATGTATTTATAGCTGACTTGCAGCATGCTATTGTACTTGCTAATGTAAGATGATTAGGCGGAAAGATCGTATCACTCACTTGGAGGAGAGCCATCGAGCCAAAATGGCATCTTGTAATAAAGCCCTCACCTAACACGATAATTACCCACCCGAGGCTCCTGCGTCGTCCTCCTCTTCTCGGCTCCATTTTTCCCCATCCCGACATCGCATCACCGCCTCTCTCTTTCCCCCCCCCCCCCCCCCCCCACCTCACCTGCGTCCTCGCCGCCATCGCCGCCGCCGCCGTCGCAGCATCGGGATATCCTCCCGCCGCGAGGTGCGTTGCCCTCCCCTGATCCCCTCCTCCTCCTCCTCCTCCTCCTCCTCCAGGCGTCGTCGTCGTTTCTGCCGCCGGGCTACAGGCCAGGCGATTTCTTCTTCTTTTCCCCCGCAATTTCCTTCTTCCTCTTTTTTTTTTTCCGCGCGAATTCATTGTTTTTCCTGTCGCGGTGGCGCGCGCTTCCCCCTCTATTTAACCGCGAGGGAGGCCGCGAATTAAGCCTTCCGACTCCGGTCCCGTGCTCCGGAGGTGGGGTGCAAGGTTTGTGCCCCTGCGTGCTCTCGCTGATGTTTCTAGTGCAAATTCGTTGGGGCCTGGCTAGGTTGCTTTTTTAGTGAATTCGTTATGGTATTTGCTGAATCTTCATCGTGTTCTGGGGAGAGTTTCTTTGGAGAAGAGACTAGTTGCGATTGATTCTCCATGTTGACAGATGCGCGGCGAGACGAATTGGAACGCTTTCTTCTTTTAGATGGTGGTGGGCGTGCTTAGAAATTTGTTTGTTGTTAGTGAGTTCGGTTTTTGTTTGCGTTGACAGTATCTTCTGTTCTAGTTGGTGGACTGTTCTGATTTTGTTTGGGGAAAAAAAGGAGATCTTTGTGCGGGTTTGAGCCTTGGTTTGGAGGAGCATGGATCCAGCTGTTGAAATACTATACGCAGATTTTGCGGTTTTATGAGCAAAAAGTCGGAATAGTCTCTGAATTCATTATAGTAGTGAACTCATATTCTTGGATCAGTTTTGAACTGATGTGCTGTGCAAAAGTATGATACTGTTTTTACCTTGATTACTTTCTTCTCTGGAGAGAACTTTACAGCGTTGAGGTTGAGATACCGTCCTGGTTACTCTCCTTTTCTTTTTTTTTTCTTTTTGGATATAAGAAGATTCTGGTGTTTGAAGGAATGGTAGACTCTTAGATTTGCTATATCACTTACAGTTGTTTTCATTAAATCTTCAAATCATCCTCCCTCTTTCTCAGAACTTTGAAAGTGATCAGGGCATTGATTGAGCATACATAATTCAACTATTAGAGAGTTTTAGAGCAGATTGATGGTCTAGCTCCTTGTTTTTGAAAGATGCACAAAGATGTTTTAGTAATTGTACATTTTCTACATTTGAGGGTATTATCTGGATAATAATGAAACCAAATTCAAATTGCAACAATGATAGAAATGAATTTTGAATTATGGTATCTATGCAGTATAATATTGCAGCCCTATTGATCCTTTGATGGCATATTTGCTACTTTTTATCCTCTTGAATTTGTTAGGACCTGCTAATATTCCCCTTCCTCGTATAAAGCTGTAAGCTTTGGTATGCATGATTGGAATTTTAAGCACACATTTCTGTAGCAGAATATATGCTCTATCACTGTCTTCTTGAAAGTTTTGCTTCTTTTTTATTTGAGCTGTGCCAAATCTCTTTGTTTTTTTGGAATATAGGAGTGTTGGATACTAAAATTTAGCTACTCCCCCCCCCCCCCCCCAAATTGTAGTGATAGAATCATAGCCGTTACAGATGACTAGCAGTGTTCTAAGAGTGTCTTTTAGGTATATAAAAGTGACAGATTCCCCTACTTGTTGCCATGCTATTGCTAGTTAGGCCACATTACTGGGTGGGTTTCACCGAATAATTACAGCTGTGGTGACCATATGGGTGATTGGATAAATGTTGGTTATCTATATTAGAACTTGATTACTAGTATTTACTTATTTGGTTGCTCACATAGTCACAATCCATGTTGATCAGTCTCTAATATTGACTTCTATTTTCAGTTTGCTGAGCACAGTTGCTGAATTTTAGGGTTATCTGCTTCAAGCATAAGTGGGCCATTGCTTCTGGCTTTTACTGGTAATAAACATAGGCTTCAACTTCAAGTTACTCTATCTTAAGGAATTAATAGTTCATATATAAGTGCATTATCGAGCTTGAATTGGCCTGTTATCATTGCCGTAACAAAGGATCAGGGTATTTTTTTTGTTTGTAGCTATTTCACTTCAATTGATGAAATTTTACTTTAGATTTGTTGATGCAACCAGACTTCCTATATTTTGTTAATACACTTGCTATACAGTAAGTTTGAATCCTGTTTTTATCATCTGAATTTTAGACAAAATTTTGGAGTACTCTCTTTTTTAAGAGTACAACGAAAAGCCACACAAACATATGCCCCTCAAATGCATGAGAGGCATGTAGAGATCCTGCTATCATATGAACTTTTGTATCTTCTCTTCATGTGTGTAGCAGCATATAACATCCTAATTTTCTTTATATGTGTTTGTTGTCCTCTTTTTTTTTTGTGTGTATGAGTTGTATTATCATGATCATTGATCATATCTTTGTCCTTTTGTTATCTGCAGAACGTAACTCACTTGGCCAAATGAAATCCATGGTAGTTGGTTATTCTGAAGCATAGAATTGTTACTGCTTTGTGAACGAATAACATCTATCTATCTAGAGCACTGGAAGATGGATCATAGAGATACTTCTGGGTTTGTCAGTGGAGGTTGCAAAGAATCAACGAACTGCATCACCCTAGGATTTCTAACTTTTTAGCTTTGTTAACCATTATTTAATCTGGAAGTGAGGTTATCTGGTACTTGGCAAAAAAATTGGCTGTGTTTTGTCTCCTGAGAAATTCTCTAGCAATGGACCCCAGACTTGGGCGGTCAGCGTTTATAAATTTCTCAAATCCAAATGCCTATGTGGGCAAGTTCCCTGTCATCTCCACAGTCAGCCATCCTACAGCTTCTAGTCAAATTGATGTGCTAGCTCATTGCAGTTCATACAACCTGCCTAGAGGGACCAAGAGAAAGTTTGATGGCTTGTCACTAGGGCTGGGCAACTCATCAAGCTCAGAATCTAGCAAGCAAAGCATGGGTACTGGCTGCACCATATCTTCTGCTAAGGGTAGTGATGATGGTTCTTCTATTGATTTGGATTTGAATCATTTTACTCTGGGCAATGAAGGTACTTCCAGGCTTGATAAGCGGGCCTGTGATTCTAGGAGGGCTTTGGATAAGCCTGAATTGAATCTTGAGCTGTCTTTGTCATCCCAGTCTGCTATTACTGGTGCAGACTTCACTGCAGCGACTGAATATAATAGCCCAAGTCTGCAGCCATACTATATGGACTTAGTGCCAACAGTTGATGAAGGATCTACATCTGCTCGCCGACCATCTGGTTGTCAGGTACTGTCTTTCCTTAATAAGACTGCAAAGATGAGTGAATTTTCTCCAAGGGAGGTTTTCCCAGGTAGCTCTAACCAGAGTCAAGGTCCGGCTCCAATGCCAACATTGCTTCAACTGCCAAAAAGTCCAGTAGCCTGTACTTCCGGTTTATCTCGTCCACAACAGCGCAGCAGTAGCACAAAAAACTGTACATACCCAGGATGTATGAAAGGAGCCAGAGGTTCTTCAGGGCGTTGCATTGCTCATGGTGGGGGTAGAAGGTGCCAAAAAGATGGTTGTGACAAGGGGGCTGAGGGCAAGACAATATTTTGTAAGGCCCATGGTGGGGGAAGGCGCTGCGAACACCTTGGATGCACCAAGAGTGCTGAAGGTCGTACTGACTTCTGCATAGCTCACGGTGGTGGCCGTCGTTGTAGCCATGAAGGATGCAAAAGAGCAGCAAGAGGGAAATCTGGTCGCTGTATTAAACATGGTGGTGGCAAAAGGTGTCAACATGCAGGCTGTACAAAGAGTGCAGAAGGGCGCTCAGGCTTGTGCATTGCTCATGGAGGTGGGCGCCGCTGTCAGCAAGATGGTTGCGGAAAAGGAGCTCAGGGAAGTACCAACTTTTGCAAGGCGCATGGTGGTGGGAAGAGATGCACACACCCTGATTGTAAAAAGGGTGCCGAGGGAAGTACAGCGTTTTGCAAGGGACATGGAGGAGGCAAACGTTGTTCAGCTGAAGGTTGTACTAAGAGTGTGCATGGCGGAACCCTTTGCTGTGTTGCCCATGGAGGTGGGAAGAGGTGTGTGGTAGAAGGATGCACAAAGAGTGCAAGAGGCCGTACTGACCGCTGTGTTGGCCATGGCGGGGGCAAGAGATGCCAATCTTCTGGATGTGATAAGAGTGCACAGGGAAGCACTAACTTTTGCAAGGCACATGGAGGCGGCAAGCGTTGCTTGTGGGGTCACGAAGGATCTGACCATGGAGCTGGTGACACTCCTTGTGAGCGCCTTGCAAGAGGCAAGAATGGCCTGTGTGTTTATCACAATCCGCAGGTGGATGAAAATCGTGTCCATGGGGGTTTCAGCGTTGTCAGCGATGCACTTTCTCAGGGAGATCGACCTTCAAACACTGAAACAAGCAGGTGCAGCATTTTCTCGCATCCTATGGAGGCTCCTCGTCGTGTGGCAGCTCCAGCTGACGAGGGTCGGGTGCATGGTGGCAACATCCTGTCAATGTTTGCAAATGGCATGAGTTTGGGGAAGCATCCCGCCAACCAAGCAGAGGCTAGCACCTCTGCACCTCGCAACTCGAAATCCACCAATGGCATGGTGACCGGTAACTCTGCGGTGCGGGGCAGCTGGCTGTAGAGCCTTGAACCGCCTTCTGCTCTCTCCATTTCAGTAAGCATATGCTTCGAACCATCTGACAAGTGCCTTCTCTTCTTAATCCTTCGGGTGTGAAAACTATGGTGTGATTGTGTGAACTGTTGTGTCCTGATTTGTTTAGCAGTGTTGTGAACTTGTGATATATTATTAATCGTTTGTGCTTTGTAAAATGTAATAATCACCTGTGTGAGATAAATAAAAGGGGGAAGGTTACACATTAGATGCTGAATTTCAGGTCTTGTACTGAAGGTCTGCTGTCACCTCCAAAATTTGTCCTGTGATAGTCATGTTCTAATAAATCTATGTGACTGACATGTTTGAAATTATCATGCTCTTGCTGCTGCGGTACACGACAGTTGTTGCGTCCCCACTTCATTTTCTGATCTTAATGAAACAAAATCTCAGAACCTAAAAGATATTTCCTGCATAGTCAGACTATTTGGAGATCAGGATACTCATGTTATGTATGCTCTGGCCTGAGCAGGCTTTTGAGAATTCAGATGCACATCAGGATCGGCCAGGCACCTTAGATGCAGATGCAGCACATCTCTGCTTCCATAGCAGTAGATCAGTTTCCTCTCACTGCAAACAAACATGCCAGGACCCCCCACAAACAGCAGGACAATGCAGTGCCAAGAAAACAGATGATTCAGCAACAGTGATGACAATAAGATTTTAGGCATATCTAGCTAAAAGATAGTACTATTTCCTGCATATTCAGACTATTGCTAAAAGATACTAATAATACTATTGTTCTGCCAATAATGCCTCCGAATGATTTGCCTGTCAATTATGCGGTTGCTGAAACCTGTTGTTCTTCTGATCTCAAACACCTGACCTAGCCATCATAAGATTGAATTCGACCGCTTTGATAAGTGTCATCAAATACTACAAGAAACAATTATGGTTATTATTAACTCTGCAACACGCTGCTGGCTCGCCACATCTGCATGAGCCAGCCACCAACTGTGTGATGATGCATTATGCTGTCTTCGTCAGTGCGACATGGCTGTCCGTTCAATGAAACAAACAACAAATCGATTTGGCATCTGAACAATTTAGAGCCACACGTTTCATGCAACTTTCTCCCCCTTTTTTTTTGCAGTGTACTGTTTGGGGAGAATCTGTTAGTGATATGTCCTAGAGGCAATCATAGAGATGATTGTATCACATACTATGTTTACATATTTATCCGATATTGTTCTTGAAATAGATAACTCCTTATTAGTTAATGAATATGTGATACTTTCATGAGACTCTTTATGTTGTTTGTTACTATTTCTAAAGGATCCCTGATCAAATATCATATGTGGAACAAATATATTTATATAATCAGCACATGTATTAATTGATGATCATGTCTCATGGATCATGGTATAGAGATACCAAATTAATAATGTGGACACATGTTGTTGGATAGACCCAACATGAGACACTGCAAGAGCCATATGTGTTGTGTCATCAGTGATCTCATTAAGTGTTGGTGTTGAATCCTTAGACCTGAGATTGCTAAACGCTACTCCGTAATTGGGTAGTTATAAAAGTAGTTTTCGGGTATGCTATGAAACATGTAGTGGAATATGAATAATCAAGATGGGATTTGCCCCTCCTATGGAGAGATATCTCTAGGCCCCTCGATGTTGTAGATTATGGAAGTGCATGGCCATGCCAAAGGTGATTGAGGAGTCAATCACAAGTTATATAATCTATCAACAGGTTCGAGTGAATGATTGAGCTATTAGAGGATGGCACATATCTATCCTTGAGCTTAATCGATATAGTGAGGCAAAGGGGTTCATACAAGTATACACTAGAGGTTCAGCCGATATGATCTTTATGTATGTCCGGTGGGTCAATACGTTCTGCTAGGGGCCGCTGTTGACGCGTGGACCGAAAAGGAGTTTTCGGGTTACAGCCGAGTATATATGAACCTATAGGGTCGCACGCTTAATGGGCCGGAATAAGGGAATTGGATAGAGATCCAATATGAGCTTAATTCGGATAAGGATCCGAATAGGAGTCCTACGGGCCTTGGAGGCCCGAGTGATGGATCCTATATATTCGTGAGGGGTGTGACCGGCGGAGGTATTGCATCACGTGAGAAACCCTAGCCGTTACTTCCCTCCCCGAGCAAAACCCTAGCCGCGCGCGGGTGCTAGCACATCTGCGCGTGGCGTTCCGTCTCTGTACGTGTGGATACCGGTAGAGGCGCCGCTGGTTTGCGGTGCTGATCGGTGCGAGAGTACGGCGAGGAGAACGCACGAGGAGGAGAAGGTCGAGCCGGTGCGATCGACGCGCGCTACTTCGCGAGAGTTCCTTCGACTTCTCAACGTCTTTTTCCGCTGCACAGCGCGTCGAGTGGTAGTGATCTATGATCTAATACTTGCATGGTTCCCGGTTTACGCGATAGAAAATTTTGATTTATGCTATCATAGCCTACGCGTATCCCAACAGAAATGTTACAGCAGCATGGATTCATGCAGCATGAATTTCTGTCAAAAATTGATCGGCAGGGAGTAAATTTCTCGAACAGCTTTTGTACCAACTTGAAGAAAACACTACTACAGTAGTAGAACACCACAAAACTACTATAGATGCTGGAAATGCTAGAACCGGCACCTATAACGTTTTTCCTGTCCTCCTAAACTCTCAGAGGAGTCAAAAATAAAAATCGGCACCTATACCGGTTTATAAAAAAACCAACACATATAATGTAAGCGCTGGTTTTTTAAAAGACGACACAAATAAAAATACTATGAGTGTTGGGTTTTTTATTTACCCGCTCCAAATTTAGAGCCCCACAAGCACGCAAAAAAATCAGCATGGAGAAAAAAAAAATCATGTTTGACCCATGCCGTGCTACCCTGCCCATTAATCTCTATCCCTTATCTCCTCGTTCGCCCCACCCCCGCCATCCCTCTCTTCCACGTCTCTCTCGATTCCTCCATCTCCCTCCTTTCCATCGCGGCGAGAAGGAAGCGACCCACCTCTCCTAGCCAACCCAACGATAGCGGCGACGAACAAGCTGTCCGGTCTGACTCCTGCCGCAGTTGACCATGGCCTCGGCTCTCTTTGCTAGATTTGTCGGCGACAGTTGTATATACGCCAGATCCCAATTCGGTGTGCATCCTGGTGTACCTATATGGATTGCACATGGAAGTCTTGAAAAATGCTGGCCAACTAAAATTGATCAAACATAGTATATTTGACTTAGGATAAAACTAAAACAACAGAAATATTTAATTTATGATAAAACTAAAACGATAAGAAAAATTGAAAGCACATTTCTATCGTTTCGCATATGTTTATTTGTACTGCTTATTAGCAATAATAATAATAATAATAATAATAATAATAATAATAATAATAATAATAATAATAATAATTTGTGAATAAAACTTTTTTTTCCAAATAAGTTTATTTTTTATTATCTCTTTTGGCTCATCTTTTACCGATCCCACACATACCAATAATAAAAAAAAGAACACTAAAACACTCTCACTTTATCGTATCTTAATATAATTATTGTCTACTTTATCTACTTCTGACGTATATTTTTTATCTACTTCCACAAGCTCTTCTAATGTAATGATTATAGACAAAATAAACTTATTTGGGACAAACGGGTGAAGAGAAAAAAAATGAAATTATTCTGGAATAGAAGGAGTATAAGAGAATTTTGGATAATCATAAAATGATGACACGGTGGGGTCCCACATCCACGTCGGGTGGCTGCTACCGACCTTGACCTGCCCCAGCTCCTCGGGAGTCGGGAAGGCAACTCCGCCTCTTCATCCTTCGCCGCCGCCGCCGCCTTCACGTGCTCCCTCTCCTCTGCGAGTCGGCGGCGCCGATCTCCATTTGTCGAGGCGAGCAGAGCAGGGGAGCCGGGAGGGGAGGGCATCCTGGTGAGGTGAGCATCCACATCCCCTTTCTGATGAATCATTCATCTCTCTCCCACCTGGAGTAGTTTTTTTTTTGTCTGGAATTCGCTCGCGTTCGTTAACCCTAGCTTTCTCTTGTAGATCTGGAAGAAGCTCTCCTCTTAATTAACCTGTGTAAAAGTTTGTTTGTTCCCCCAAAAAGTTTGCTTCCTGGGATTACTACGAGGAGGAGGAGAGGGGATAGATAGTCTGTCAGATGATGATGATGCCGCTGCGTTGCCTCTCCGAGCTGGCCCGCCGCCGGCCTGATCGCGCGGTGAGATTCTACTCATTTTCTTTCTTGGATGAATCATTCAGCTAGAAGCACGTCGCTGTGTCTTTGTACTGTAATTATGCATTGGGTCTCTGTAATTGTGCGTTGGGTACTAGTAATAATCAAGTAATGATGTATTGATGCAGTACCATATCACATCGAAGGGATGAGCTTGTGCTGTTAATTTTTAATTTCCAGTCAAAAACGAATTGCTTGTTTTCTGGTGCTGTAACAGTCAAAACCAAAATTTTCAGGTTGATGCAATGAGAGTGGGGCTCCGATGTTTGATGAGCACTTGCCCGTTATCCAAAGCTACTGATGATAGTCAAAGGTTATATGCAACTTCTTCTTGTGCTAATGTGCCAGAGGTAGCACTGAGTGAGGCGCCACTGTCAGACATGCTTGTCGATTCGTTCGGGAGATTCCACAACTACCTGAGGATCTCCTTGACCGAGCGCTGTAATCTGAGATGCCAGTACTGCATGCCTGCCCAAGGAGTTCAGCTCACGCCAAACTCAGAGCTCCTGTCGCATGATGAGATAATCCGAGTTGCCGGCCTGTTCGTTACTTCTGGTGTGGATAAGATCCGGTTGACCGGCGGAGAACCAACCATTAGAAAGGATATCGAGGATATCTGTTTGCATCTTTCCGGCTTGAAGGGGCTGAAAACTCTTGCGATGACCACGAATGGGCTCGTTCTTTCTAAGAAGCTCCCAAGGTTGAAAGAATGTGGGCTCAATGCTCTAAATATTAGCTTGGACACGTTGGTCCCTGCAAAGTTTGAGTTCATGACAAGACGTAAAGGGCACTCGAGAGTCATGGAATCGATAGATGCTTCTATACAACTTGGATTCCAATCTGTCAAGGTATGCAGATTTTTGCATACCTGAAATTTCTGCAGTTTGTCTTCTTTTTAACATACCACAAACTGGAGCTATATCCGCATCATATTGAGCATTTATCCTCAGTTTAATTGGTTCTTTTTCCCTTTTTCTGCTGCCAGGTCAACTGCGTTGTCATGCGTGGAATGAATGATGACGAGATCTGTGATTTTGTTGAAATGACGAGAGACAAGCCTGTCAATGTCAGATTTATAGAGTTTATGCCGTTTGATGGTAATGTTTGGAATGTCAAGAAGTTGGTTCCTTATGCAGAGATGATGGATAAAGTGGTAAGGTACACCTCTGAAAAGTTCACTTCCCTTATACATTTTACCTTTCTTTCTTCCGCCTGCATCTAGCATCCTAGCCATTTTATGTACATGTGGTTTTATTATTATTATTATGGAAGCTACAAGTAATTTTTCTTACTTGCAACCTTGGGGATCAGCGCCAACGTTTTAAAGGTGTAGAGAGACTTCAAGATCATCCGTCAGAGACCGCAAAGAATTTCAAGATTGATGGTCATGCTGGAACAATTTCGTTTATTACATCGATGACAGAGCATTTTTGTGCTGGTTGCAATAGATTACGACTATTGGCTGATGGCAACTTGAAAGTGTGCTTATTTGGCCCCTCAGAGGTATGCTAACCAGACACTTTGTGAAACCTTGACTTGTATTTCTGCAAATTTTCCTATCATATTTTGGGCCAATATGTCAATTTTCTACTTTGGATTCCATGAGGGACAATTTTTGTGCTTTCACTGATGTTGTGGCCTCTTATTTTGAATACCATAATCAGTGTTAATGTGTCACGCATAATCATGCAAACTTGAACCATGTGTACTCATTGATTTTCCTTCACAATTATGAACTATTTGAACATAGATCAATACACATATTTCTGTATAGTGCTAAAAATGCTCAGGATGTTCCAAGCATGTTATATCATCTTTTTTGTCTTAACACAATCTGAATGAGTGATTGGATGGGTTGAATGGTATTCATGTGCTTTGTTTCCTTCTGTTGCTTTTGGAATTTCTGTTTAGGTGTGCTGTGCCTTAGATCTGAAAGTGAAAGTTAAGTGGGGGCAGATCCAGTGTCCATGATATATTAAACCTTAATCAGAGTAAAATTTGACCGACTTTCTGCAAGTCCTATTTCTCATTATTTAAATTCACTGTATATTTCAGAATTCAGGTTGTTAATTCCAGTTGTCTCTTTAAAAGTGAAATCTCCTTGTACAGTTCTATTTTTCTTGTTGTATTAATATCATTGGACAAGAATGGATAAAAATCGAGGAACAAGTCTTCTTTGCAAAATGCTAAAAAAAAATAAATGAGTACAAATATTCTGGTTTGTACAGGTGAGCCTGAGAGAGCCTATTCGAGCTGGTGTTGATGATGCTGGACTCAGAGAAATAATAAGCGCTGCGGTATGTGTAGAAATTCACTTGGTTGACATCTTCTGTATGAAAGACAGTAATCTAGACCATTTATTCTTATTGTCGAATAACAATCTTGCACCAACTATTTCAATCCACTCCTGTTCCTTTCATAGAACACGATACCAAAAGGTTTTTAACTGTTTTTCTCTCTCTCATCTGAGCAGTTTAAGAACATATGAATTCAATTAATTTGTTTGAGAAGAAAATGATTTTTATGTTAAAAGACTGCTTCTCTTGACAAAAATTTAAAATCAGCATCGCAAATAAGTACCAAAAGAGAAGTAGAGTCTCCTGGCTTCTGGGATTTCCATTGAGGAAGGAAGGGCATGCATTTTTGGTTTGGACCACATTGGGTAGAAGATAAGCAGAGGCGAACTATCCTGTTCCTGGTATAAACTGCACATTATATCCAAGGTTACCTGGGATGTTGGGATACTTTTAACGTTTACCAGCACCCTTTTGCCTCCATTGGAACAGGTGGATCTTGCTCTGCCTACACCTGAGGCAATTGTTCCTTTGGACAGCTAGTAGGTTTCTATTGATATTAGTTACTCTACTTGTCCATGTTCATAGCTAGAAATAGCTACATTTTGGGACGAGCATAGCATATCATTAGTTATATTATCATGTTTAGTCGCCAACTTACTTTACCCAGGTTAAAAGGAAGAAAGCTAAACATGCTGGGATGTTTGATATTGCTAAGACGGCAAATAGACCTATGATTCACATTGGTGGCTGAGGTATCTTCTTAACACTGCTTCTACCCTTTGTTTAATAAAGAAAGAATTGATAGTTTCTTTGAAGATTATCCATTTTCTTCACTCAACATTGTTCTATTGGATCCCTCTGTGTGTTCTATTCATAATACAGAACAATGCAAATTTTAGAACCAAAATGCTGGTTCCCTGTTATAAATTAGAGGTAGAATATTGTCATGAGCAACAATTGCTTTGTGGTTGCTCAGGAATCTAGTGAAGAGCATCTGCAATTTCATTAACTCCATGGCTTTGAATTATCTCTAGCTTGATTAAACATACTGTTGTCAGTTCATTATGCTTGTATTCTTGTCTGGCACTAATTTCTTTTAGGTTACAAACTGTAGGTGCAACATGCAATATTTAGAACTGGCTACAATTTTAACTTTTATGGACTAAGCATTATCCATGCTTGTCTTGCTTACCAATTACAACTTGTTTCAGATCAGTTTTACCAGCTGAAAGTACCTTGGCTCCTCCATACGATGACTGCGATGAACTATCAACATGATAAAACAAAACAAAGATTACATGATCTTACCTTGATATGATGGTAAACTGAGGAACTCAAAACTTCAAACGGCAATACATACAGTTTGTACAAGATATAAAAATGTTACTATACTTGTGAAATAGTAGCAGTTACAAAACCTCATGCAGTTGAAAGTTAAAGCATCTGTACTTTTCGCTACTTGTACGAGAAAGTTGTAACTGTTGTATGATGTATGCTCCTCATAAATCAATGCTAATGTGTAACTAATTATTCTTTTACGGCATCTTATCGGTTAATGAAACGAAATTTATTGTCTTTTCTTTCTGGGAAGCTCTTGTTTTGTATTCAGCAGAATAACGGCCTCTTGAAATCGCGGGAATGAAAAAGGGAGAGAAATATAGGAAGTGTGCAAGTGTGCTTCCGCACTTGCTTTGAATTTGGTACTACTGATACAACAAAAATTACTCTTTGAGAAAACAAAAAACAAGTACTTTATTTTAAGATAGTAAAATTCAACTAGAGTTGCTTTAGAGGTTGGTTCTCTCTTGCTAAAAATATTGGGAAGAGAGTAAATTTTTTTTAAAAAAAAACTATGATAAACAAAAATAATTCAACTATTTCTTTTAAGAGGGTAAAAATTCAACTAGAGTTGCTTTGTGGTTGGCTCTCTCTTGCTTAAAAAAGCTAAATGATACCCCGCGTTTTTCTACGGTATGATTATATACAGACAAACAGATTTTAAAAAGTACACACGCTTAAAAAAAAATCTGAACTCTTTAGTTATAAGGCCGGGGAGACCATCAGACCAATAGTCTTTAAATTTCAATTAAAAGTTTAAGGTGCATGAACGTGACATAATATAACTTCAACAATAAAGTGCATGTCAATAGAAGAAAATTAATTGCTCTGGAGAATTAAAAATAGATTGGGAAAGAGAATATATACTACTACTTTCTAAGTAGTGGTTGTGTCTATTTTCATATCATCTTTACCGCTGATATATGAGCCCTATAATCTATACTGTTACACCACCTTTCAGTGAGTCTTGAGTCTTCTCCCGTTTAATTATTGGCTCTCTTTAGATTTTAAAATCACTTACATATTTAATAAGGAAAATTATAGTATTACTTGGACTAAATACGTGCTTATTAATTGATTTAATAAAGTAGAAACTCAATTTATTTTAACTTAATTTGTTTTTCGTTGCAATGCACGGGCTCTATGCTAGTGGAGACTAATCAATTCTAGGATTTGGAAATTAACGTGGAATTGTACGTAGCACTAGGAAACATTAGCTTATGTAGTTTGCCGGTTTCCATATTTGACCAAAAACATGAAAAGTTACATTATCATGTCTTGGTATGCAATTAAGCAAATTTCACTGGCCAAATGAGTGTTGAAATTGTGGACATATGATCTGATTAGTTTGGATGGTGTTAGAGTGTGCAGCCCAGCCAATCAACCGTGAGCCACCTAGGTCACATTGAGCCTACTCCACCACAGGCCGTCACAACTTCATGTACCGGGCCTACACCACCCAAAAGACTAGGTTCTGAGCCTACACAACCCAAAAGACTAGTCTGATGGGTGAGGACCGTCCCCACCTTTTAAGTCATGTGGGACTAAACCCAACAATCTCAATTACCGATGTGAGACTAGACCCAACAATCTCCCCGGAAGTGCTAATGGGCGATCGATCGCCCGGCGACAAGGGTAGCGATCGATCCCCCTTCCCCCTCCCTCCCTCCACCTGGTTTCCTTTTTTGGCACCGCATTACTTTCCTATTTTAGTAAATTTATGCACCTAAAGTTTATACACCTCAAGTTTACACATCTAAAGTTTAGAGACCAAAAGTTTATAAGTCAAAAGTTTATATATCCGATTCAAATTTGAATTTGAATTCAAATATTTTTTTTATATATAGTATTTCTATGCATCTAAAGTTTATACACCTAAAGTTTATAGACCCAAAGTTTATAAGTCAAAAGTTTACATACCCGATTCAAATTTGAATTTGAATTATATCCATTCAAATTTGAATTTGAATTCAAATATTTTCTATATATAGTATTTCTATACATCTAAATTTTATACACCTAAAGTTTATAGACCCAAAGTTTATAAGTCAAAACTTTACATACCCGATTCAAATTTGAATTTAAATTCAAATATTAGTTTATAGACCCAAAGTTTATAGGTCAAAAGTTTACATACTCATTTCAAATTTGAATTTGAATTTAAATTCAAATATTAGTTTATAGACCCAAAGTTTATAAATAAAAAGTTTACATACCCATTTCAAATTTGAATTTTAATTCAAATTTGTATGGTGTAGTAGTAAGAGAAGAAGGGGAGGTAAAGTAGTAAGGGGGAGGGGCGGGTGATTGCTTGGGAGGTGAGGGAGCGATCACCCGCCCATTAGGAGTACCCCATTCTCCCCCGTCACATCAACCCTGATGTCCGTGTGGCCCCGAAGACTCAATTACCGATGTGAGACTAAACCCAACAGATGGAGAGAGAGAGAGAGCAATGTCAATTGGGATATGACGAAACCCAAAATCAAACCAAAGCATTATTTAAAATGCAGGAATTTTATAGGAATCGCATAAACCAATGACACAATTTACAATGTGATAACATATATTGAATATATTTGTATTACAAGTTGATAACATACGTACATAGATGCACGTGCCTATATAATACAACAGTGTCCAGTACACTATATAATGTGCAGCACAACATAAGAAAATATGATATGGCTTAGTCGAAACACACACTTGGAAGGGCATCTAACATACCCCGTACTGTACGTCGGATGCAAAAACGTTTACGGCTTGGTCGATCGGTCAGCTCGCGTCCACCAAGAAGAACCGTAAATGTAGGGGCTATAGTGCAGCGTAGTCGGGTCGGAGAGGAGGAAAATTAAGTTGCTAATGAGCAGCATATCCGGATTCGTGGTATTAGGAAATATCCCTTTCAATTTTAAGCTCTTCAAATTTTCGGACGGGGAGGGAGAGTAGCTTAGCTGCAGTAACGTACGTAGTAGCTGATGCCATGGATGTAGCTAGCTAGAGCTAGTACTGGTCGGGCCAGAGGAAGGCGCCCATGGCGAACCGCCGCTTGGCGTCGAGGTCGCCGTCGACGGGGAGCCCGTACTCCCGGAGCAGGCAGTCCACCCGCCACTCCGGCATCGCCTCGTACTCCGCCTTCTTGTACCGCGGGTAGTGCAGCGGCATCCGGAACGACGACCCGCCACACCCGCCGCCGCCGCCGCCGTGCTGCTGCTCACCGCCGGCCGCCGCCGTCGTCTTCTCGGCCTTGGGCTGCAGCCCCACCACGCTTGGACCCAACGATCCCATGGCCAATGTGGCTTTCTTGCAGCTAGGACTAGGAGTCTAGGAGACTAGCTAGGACTATATATGATTTTCTTTTTTTTTTTTTTGGTGTATCTTGTTGATGGTTGCAAGAGGCTGCTCATGTGTGGAGGGGTATTTATAGGAGAGGAAAAATGTGGTGTCCATAAAGAGGAGGTGGTGCTACTCGCTATGTGTGGCGATCGCGCGCCGTTGGATTGAAAATGGATGGTCCAAATTGAGCGTGCTCGCATAATACACCGAATAATTATCGAGTTTTAGTGTTTGATTGTTGGCCCCGCCCTATTGTTTGGCTGATCATAAGCATATAAGCGAAACGACATATATGTAAATAAAAAATAATTTATAAATAAAACTTTTATATATACGTTCTTAGCGATATAAAAGTAAAGACTGAAAAATAAACTACTCCCTCCGTCCTATAATATAAGGGATTTTCAGTTTTTGCTTGCAACGTTTGACCACTCGTCTTATTCAATTTTTTTTGCAAATATAAAAAATAAAAAGTTGTGCTTAAAGTACTGTAGACAATAAAGTAAGTCACAAATAAAATAATTAATAATTTCAAAAAATTTTAAATAAGACGAGTGGTCAAACGCTACAAGCAAAAACTCAAAATCCCTTATATTATGGGACGGAGGGAGTACGATAAAAAAAATCTCAAAACCAACTCCAATTTACAGTTGAAATTTCAAATTTTTGCTGATAAGTGTAAGCGAAAAGATGAGGCCATGTATCATGGATGAACCAACGAACGGTTGAGATCGAGCGTGCCAGCACAATAGGAAACGCGTGTATCAAAGATGAATGGTCCAGATTGAGCGCTCTTGCATAATACACCGAATGATTGATGGGCCATTAATGCACAAACCATATGGTTGATGACACGTATGTGCAAATCAAACAACCCATTTGAAGTTATGGACAACGCAAGGGACATGTAGGGAGGGATGAATTGCATGATTGGTTTGTGTTCAATTAAGAATCTAATGCGAACAACAAGAGACGTGAGAGGGAAATCAGGGGTTTGATTGGAGAAGACGACAGCAAATGCCTCTTGCTGCTGCCCAGATTCAGTAGTTTCTGTTCCAACAAATCATTCCAGCAGAGGGTATTAACTTGCCGAAAACGCAAATGTACGTAGGTGTAGCTAGGGTTTAATTAGTTAATTAGGACTTGTTCGTTTTGTTCGACCAGATCTGACAAAAAAAAAGAAGAAAAAGTTCAGGACACAGCATGGTTTGTGTGAATTGGTTGCTTGACCAAGATACATACGCTACTGAGGTTCACAGAAAACTCATGAAAAACTGTAGCAATTCAATCATACCAAGGTACTCCAACATGAAAATCAGATTAAACTTATTGAATAAATATACTTTTAATGAAGTAAACTTGTTAATAGCAGCAATAACAATTACAGTAAATATGTAGGAGTTGTTGGGTATTAGAAATTTGCCTTTCTACTGTATTTTACGCGTCGTTATTTGATTTTCTTTATTCAACCTGATTTTTTATTCATTTTACTATCACTTTGCTTGCTTCTCCTGCAAAAACGGAAGGAAGGAAGCCCACATGTCTGAAAGGTGAACAAGAGTCAAAACACAACGGCAATCAGGAAACAGATTGCAATAACTCATAATAATTGGACAACTTGTTCTAGTAGTCATCAACAAATATGATGATTGATAGTTACTTGGGGTGTTCAATAAGCAGAGGTGTTTTCTTCAGAGTTTGAGAGGCATCGATAGCCTTTCATTGGTGTTTTGCTTGTGAAGCAGAAGAAAGACGTGTGTGCTTCTGCTACCAAAGCCTACCTTCCATGATTTTTCCTTCCTTGATCACCTTGCTTCTCGCCTTCTCCCAGTGAATCCGCATTATTTAACAACCTTCTAGATGCCGTTAATGCCCGTCTGAACAAAAATTGTTACGGGAATCATCTCAGTGAGAGGGTGTGTTTGACAAGAGGAGAAAAAGAGAAGGTCGAGGAGATACGTAAAACGAAGTGGATCATTAGTATATAATTAATTAAGTATTAATTACTTAAAATTTAAAAATGAATTAATATAATTTTCTAAAACATTTTTTCTATAGAAAATTCCTTTAAAACACACGGTAACACTTCGGGAAGAATACGCGTGAAAAAGAGGGGTTTTTCCTATCATTGTGCTGCTGCTGAACGCAAATCGCTCCCAAAGAGTAGCTTTCATGCAGTAGATGGAAGTTGCCACAGGATAAATGGGTGTTTTCTCTGCTCCATAGAAGCAAGTATTCTGAAATGGCCAAATGGGAGTACTGACCTAGCATTTGTTTCAACGTTGATCAGTTCACACCTCTTGTTGCTTCCTGTGAACACTGACCAGCACATCTCTGTAATTGAAGTGCCAAAGCTTGATGGGCCCCAAATGCTTAGCCAAGGCCGAGACAACGGCCCAAGTAATCTGGATAAAGGCCCAAACTTCCCAAACGCCTACAACTCCAAATGGGTAATACAAAGGCCGAGTTTAGTTCCAAACTGTTTTTTCAAATTTCCAACTTATCCATCACATTAAAACTTTCCTACACACACAAACTTTCAACTTTTCCGTCACATCGTTCTAATTTCAACCGAACTTCCAATTTTAGCGTGAACTAAACACACCCAAAAGCATCACATTATTCAGTACTATGAAATTCACTGTTCTAATCCTATGTAGTAGTAAGTACATCACATTGTTCTTTTTTCTTGCTCCTACTCCACTAGGACTCATTCACATTATTTCTGTAGTGTCCTGGTCGATTTGATGCCTTGTCAATTTTTTTGTTTTCGCATTGGCCTTTCTCCAAGCAAGTTCTTGCGACGATGATTTCGACTGAATAATCTGAACCGCTCAAAATTTTGTCATCTGGAGCTTGAGAGTTTCTTGGGTCCAAGATTCCTTGCCTGTTCTTGCACAAGCATCACAGTTGTTTTTGCTCGTACCTTCCTCCTCTCATGAGTCATGAATGGTGACAGGGGTGCATTGAAGAAGCATTGACAAATTTCACTGCTGCATCCATGTATTCACTCTGACAAGCTCTTGGATCCTCTTGGAAAACGAAAGTTTACAGCAAGCTTCTTCAGCATGTGCTACACTGCTAGTATCACACTCTTGGAGAGCTTGTTCAGCATGTGCTTCTTCAGCATGATGCTGAAGAGCAATTGCATTGGTTCAGAAAACTTTGTTCGGCTGTTTGTGCTGATCAATACTAGTAGTAGTCCCTCCGTTTCTAAATAGCCGACTTCCCTAAATATTTAGAAAACGTCGTTAACTTTTATAAATATGTTTGACCGTTCGTTTTATTCAAAAACTTTTGTGAAATATATAAAACTACTACCTCCTTCCCTAAATGTTTGATGCCGTTGACTTTTTTAAATATGTTTGACCGTTCGTCTTATTCAGAAACTTTTGTGAAATATGTAAAACTATATGTATACATAAAAGTATATTTAACAATAAATCAAATGGTAGAAAAAGAATTAATAATTGCTTAAATTTTTTGAATAAAACGAACAGTCAAACATATTTAAAAAAGTCAACGGCGTCAAACATTTAGGGATGGAGGGAGTATACGTATACATAAAAGTATATTTAACAATGAATCAAATGATAGGAAAAGAACTAATAATTACTTGAATTTTTTAATAAGACGAATGGTCAAATATATTTAAAAAGTCAATGGCGTCAAACATAGAGACGGAGGGAGTACTAAATCTAGTGTGCCCTCATTTGTGCTGATTAAATGCAGATGCAGGGAATGGAAGAGGAACTACACCATGCAAAGCAATTGCAGAGAAACAAGCCCAAAGAAAACCAAACAAGCAAACTACTACTACTACTCCTGTTTGTGTTTGCTAGTAGTAGGACACCACGTATGGGACAAAGCATGCAAACACACAAGAGGCTCAAGCATGTACTCCTCCTATATCCCCTTGCCTGCAAGCTTCCAAACCTTGGCCATGGAACCATATGCACATACCAAGGACATGGAGATGTACACACACAAGATGACACAAGAGACACATATTTACTACTCCCATTTCTTCACTGCACATTCATTGCCATTGCAAACTACCAGTGCTAGTACCAGTAGGAGTAGATTATTGTTGCTTGATAGTAGAGTCCAACAAGTGTTGCATTGGCAGCTTCAGTCAGTGAGGCACCCCCATACTACTACTGCTGCTATCTCCATGGCAGCTTTAGAATCCAAAACAGTCTAAACAATGCCTTTAAAGCGGGGCCAGATCAAAGGTAAAGCTAAAGTCCAAAAGGGCATGCATAAAAAGCTAAACAAAAGCTGTAAACATATTACTGTTACGACTGGGAACATTTTTAATTGCAGTAAACAATGGCGTTTCTGTAGGATCAACAGTGTCATGCATCGGTCTCTGTGCATGAATGATCCTCCTCAGTCATAACCATTTCACACCTCCCTACAAGCAATATTTCTTGATTTCTTCATATTGTGATTTGTGATGTAGCATCAGGGCTCCTTTGGACTAAGAATTTTTTTTCCTATGTTCTATCTCTTGGAACAAAGTAAAATGCATAAGGATTGTTTTCATATGCTCTCAATCAATATATGAATTCTAACATGAACTCATCTTTTTTTTCCTTTGCTAATGTCCAATGTATACTCTCTCTCTCTCTCTCTCTCTCTCCCCGCATGTGATTTCCTTAAAAAAAATTGTTTCAATTCCTGTGGAACTATCCAAACAAAATATCTTAAGTGTTGCTATGTTTCTAAAATCATGTACTCCCTCCATCCCTAAATATAAGGGAGGAGTATCGCAGCGTCCTACTATTTCTATTTCTGTGTTATAGGAATCCTGCGTTGAAAAGAGCCCTCAAAGTTGATATAGCTTATTGTTCATTTTCCATGGCTACTACACTATTTCTCTCATGTTCCAAATGAAATTTCCTGTATCTTTAGAAACTGTTTTGCTAAATGGAGACCATTTTGAAACTTGCATAGATTTTATATTTTCACAAATAAATTATTTACATTTTCAAATATATATTATAAATAAAGAAACAAATACATTTAGCCATTTTCTTAATTATTATGCCAACTAATATCTTTATATCTAA